CAGCTCCAGGTTGAGCTGAACAGCATCTTAGCTGTGGAGGGCAGTGTCACTGGCCCTCATATGTGGGATCCGAACCGGGGCCCTCTGGCATCCCAAGCGAATTCTTAACCATCGCGCCACTCGGCCGGCCCTGATTTCATTTTTAAAAAGTGTCATTATTACTGAACACTTGGTCTCACTCTTCAGTATAGAGTGGTCCCACACCACTACTAAAAAGATTATGCTGAGTCATACCATCACAAAAGTGTTGAGAAATTTCTGCTACAACTTAAGTATGGCCTGCAGAAGGCATCCTAAGGTTGCATGTAATTGGCCGGACTTCTTTGTTTTTTTATTTCAGTGTCCTCTGGGATCTCTTACAGCTTGGGAACTGATATGACATCACATCTTCTGGTGGACAATACATTAGAGAACTTGTTAGAGACATAGATTCAATACCTCTAATGATACCAGCGTCAAAAGGTAAATTCAGTGCCTGAAAATGGATGCCATTTATTGGGTTGTCAGAAAAGTCATGCAACAAAAAACATAGAAAAAATACGTCATGACTTTTCTGACAACCCAATATAATTAAAACAACTCTCAGTCTGTCATTGTGGGATATCTTGAACATGAAACTTTACTTCTGGGTATAAAATTTGCAGAAATTTTTGCATATGTGTAGCAGGAGACATATACTAGTATGTTCATTGCAGTGTTATTCATAATAGTAAAAATTGGAAACAACATAAATAGCCATTGATCAGAAAATGAATATACATTGATATGTATTCATACAATGAAATAATAAATTTATTTTCTTCATAATAAATAAAATAAATTTAATTTTCTTTATAAAATTATAAAGTAATATAAAGCAGTTACTAATACAACATTTAAGATGGTGGTCACCTTTTGGGGGAAAAGGAAATAATATGGTTGAGGAAGTTACAGAGAGAATTCTTAGTCTACTAGTAGTGTTCTGTTTCTTAATCTGGTATGTATGTTTGTGTACGCTTTATTATTATTCTTTAAACTGTCCATATATGATTTATTTCCTCATTTATATGTGTTTTATATATATATATATATATATATATATATACATAACACAAATAAAATAACATGTTTATATAATAATACATATATAATTTATGTTATATATAATACATATGTAATACATAACGGTTTTATTGGGATATAATTTACATAGCATAAAATTCACTCTTTAATGTGTACAATTCAGTAACTTTTACTGTTTTACAGAGTTGTACACCATCCTCACTAATTTTACAACATTTAACTACCCCCAAAAGAAACCCTGTAACAGACATTCTCAGTGTCCACCATGCCCGGCCCCTGATAATCACTTACCTGATTTCAGTCTCTATGGATTTGCCTATTCTGGACATTTCGTATAAATGGAATCATATAACATATGGTTTTTAATGTCTGACTTCTTTTATTTAGCATAATGTTTTAAAAGTTCATTTATGTTGTAGCGTTCATCAATACTTAATTTTTATTGCAGAATAATATTTCATTGTATGGGCATGTGACATATTGCTTATACGTTGATCAGTTGATGGACGTTTGGATTGTTTTTAATTTTTGAATAATGATGCTTTGAATATCTGTGTACAAGTTTTGTGTGGACATATATTTTCATTTCTCTTAGGTATATACCTAGCTAGAAGTGGGGTCATATGGTAGCACTACGTTTAACATTTTGAGAAACTGTCAAATTATTTTCTAAAGCAGTTGTACCCTTTTAGGTTCCTATCAGCAATGTATGAGATGTCCAGGTTCTTCATACCCTCACCAATACTTCTTGCTGTTATTGAAGTGGTATCTTGTGGTTTTGTTTTGTTTTAGATTTATTCTTTCTCTTTGTGGTTTTGATTTGCACTTCCCTAATGAATAATCACATTGAACATCTTTCATGTGTTTATTGGCAATTTGTCTATCTTCTTTGGAAAAATGTCTCCTCAGAGTCTTTGCCTTTTTTGTAATTGGGTTATTTGCCTCTATATTGTTGGTTGTAAGAGTTCTTTATGTATTTTGAATACAAATTTTTTATTTTGTTATTATTTTGTTTTGCAAATATTTTCCCCATTCTGTAGATTGCCTTTTCACTTGTTTGATAGTGTCCCTTGAAGTACAAAAGTTTTTTTTTTGTTTGTTTGTTTTTAATGTTTATTGGGGAATAGCCATGGTCATTGGTTACACATTTGTCTCATGCTACAATGGCATAGTTGACTCTTTTAGAGAGGGCGGAGCTCACAGTGGCTCATGTGGGAATCTAACCAGCAACCTTGGTGTTATCAGCACAATGCTCTAACCAACTGAACTAACTGGATACTCCCCTACAAAAGTTTTTAATTTTGATGACGTTCAATTTATCTATTTTTTTGTCACTTGTGCTTTTAAAAAAAAAAAAAAGATTTTATTGAGGAATTGGGGAAGGGGAACAGAGTTGGGGAATTGGGGAAGGGGAACAGCCAAGTTGTTGTCTTTCAATGTTAGTTGTGGAGGGCGCAGTTAGCTCAACTCCAAGTCTAGTCGCCATCCGGCCACCCATTGGCAGCTTGTGGCCGCTCAGCTCAAAGTGCCATGCTCATCTTAGATGCGGGAGTAAAATCGGCAACCTTGTTGTAAGGAGCACATGCTCTCACTAGCTGAGCTATCCTGCCACCTGTTGGTAGCTCAGCGGCAGCTCAACTCGGGCACAGCTCACTGGTCCATGTGGGAATCAAACTGGCGACCCTGTTGCTTAGAGCTCACGCTCTTAACCAACTGAGCCACTAGGCCAGCCCTGTCACTTCTGCTTTACATGTCTAACTTCATAGTGTCAGTCATATCTAACACTGCCTAGTCCAAGGTCAAAGTTTTATTTCTATGTTTTCTTCTAAGAATTTTGTAGTTTTAACTCTATACATTTAGCTCTATACATTTATACATTTAGGTCTATGATTCATTTTGAGTTAACTTTTTATATGGTATGAAGTAAGGATTCAATTTCATTCTTTTGCATGTATCTATCCAGATGTCCCAGGACCATTTGTTGAAAAAATTATTCTTTCTCTATTGAATTTTCTTGGTATGCTTGTCAAAAATCAATTAATCATAAAAGTAAAGATTTATTTTTGGACTTTCAATTTGATTCCATTTATCTACATGCCTATCCTATGCCAATACCATGCTGTCTTGATTATTGTTGCTTTGTAGGAAGTTTTGAAATCAGGATGAGTAAATCCTCAAACTTTGTTCTTTTTCAAGATTATTTTAGCTATACTGAGTCCCATGCATTTCCATATGAACTTTAGAATCAGCTTGTCAGTATCTGGAAATAAAAAAGCCAAATGGAATTTTTATAGGAGTTACATTGAATCTGTACATGAATTTTGGAAGTATAGCCATTTTATTAATGTTAAGTCTTCAAATCCATGAACATGGGATGTTTTTCTAATTATTTAAACATTCTTTCTAGTTTTCAGTGTACAAGTTTTGTATTTCTTTGTTAAATTTATTCCTATGTATTTTATTCTCTTTGATGATATTGAAAATAGAATCGTCTTAATTTTATTTTCAGATCGCTCATTGCTAATATATAGGAATACCATTGATTTTTTATATTGATCTTGTATCCTGAATTCTTACTGAATTCATGTATTCATTCTAATAGCTTTTTTTTTTTAGAGCATTTCTTAGGATTTTCTGTATATAAGATCATGTAATCCATGACTAGAGATAATTTTACTTCCTTTCTATTTTAGATATCTTTTTTTTTTCATGACTAATCTCCAAGGATAGAACCTCCTGTAAAATCTTGAGTAGAAGTGGCAAACAGATTGAGCAAATAAAAATATTGAGGATGGTAGGAGCTGGTTTCTCACTGAGAAGAGAGATACAAATATGGGCAGGGAGAAGGCTAGAATAAACAATATGACTTTGGATTTTAAATGGAGGTATCAGAGTGAACTAATGGTTTCTAGCATATAGAAAAAACATAGATGTGTGTGTTTGTATCTTAATTGTGATGGTTTCACAGTTATACACATATGTAAAAATTAATTAAATTTTACACTTTAAATATGTTCAGTGTATTACATGTCAATTATACTTCAATAAAGCTGTTTATAAAAAACTTATGTCATCATTTACAAAGGATATATCAGAGAAGTGGTAGTGGTGGCTGAGGTGGTTCTGAGACTAAATTTCTGAGCTCTCTTCCAGGGAAGGAGTTGCATTTTGAGTTCTGGGGTTTTAGAATGGTTCCCATAAGATCAGAGCTGACCCTGGGCCAGTGAACACTCACACACTGAAAAGGATTCTCTAGTTTCCTTTGATTAGACCAAATAGAAGTTCTATTCCAAGGAAGCAGTTTGGGAACAGTTTCTCCAGACCACAAAAACAAATGAGATGATTCTTGGCAATCAAAAAAGGTTTCTATTTTTTTCCTGATTGGGGATTTGAAGATGGCTGTGGGCACAATTCTTGTTTAGGAGAAAAAATATTTAAGAGTAAATCAAGAAGAAAAATTAAGTAGACTAACAGCCTTGCTCCATATTTTTAAAAAGAGGATGTACTTTCTAGATAGAAAGTTGAGTCATACCTTATGCTGGAATGATATCCCTTATGCAGAAGTGATACAGAATGATAAAGAGGTCCCTTAGCACACATTTTTCACATACTTCTTCATTTCCTCTTCAATACATGACTCAAGACAGATTCAAGCCCTCTGGACAAAAATGTGATGAAAGACCTGAGGGGTTTAAAAAATTGCATATAAAAATAATCTCCATTCCCGTCTCCTGGGACGTTAGGTAAGAATATAAAAAACGAACCACCTTTCAGCAAGATGAGCCGGGAAGAATTGGAGGATCGTCTGTTTCGTCTTCGTGAAGAAAACTTGTTGCTGAAGGACCTTTCTTGGAAGCAACAGGATGAGATGAAAAGGTACCTTAAGTCTGTAAAGCTGTAGCTACCCCAGGCCTATACCACACAAAACCAAAACGAGTATGTTTTCCTGAGATGTCTGCACCAGAAAACAATTCAAATGTGAAGAATGATTAACTCCAAAAACAATTTTTTGTTGTTGTTGTTGTTTGTTGTTGTTTTTTGTAGAAGGCAGTGTCACCAGCCCTCATATGTGGGATCCGAACCAGGGCCCTCTGGCATCCCAAACGAGCTCTTAACCATCGCACCACTCGGCCAGCCCCCAAAAATAATTTTTAAAGCAATATTTTCCTTACTTGGGTTTCTTGCCAAACACATCAATAGACTGTGGCTATCGGCCACAGAGCATCCTAAAGAGCTACTTCAAACCACAGAGCAAAAGACTGGGCAGGCTCCTGCTCTGGTCACCAAAGATGCGATAGGGACTGGGGAATGGCCTAAATTCCAGGGAAACAAAGGTTATAGGAGGCACAAGTAAGAGAAGGGGGTTTTACTTATAAAACAAAAACCAAACTTCATATTGATCATTTATTGTATGGAAGTATGTTGTAAATACTTTATATGTATTAAGTAAGTTACTATTATAAGTGCTATTAACTTATTTAATACTCTCAAAGAGGTATTACTAAGAGGAAAAGGGAGCACAAAAAGGTTAAGTAACTTGCCCACAGTCACAGCTATTGAGTGGCGGAACTGAAAGCTGTTAACTCCGAAATCTATATACAGTGACCTTAGGGTACTGGCTTTTAAAAGTGGATCTCATGGGTGCAGACCTGGAGAGGAATCTGAGATGAGGTATGGATAGTAAACACATGGGAAGGATGGGAGTTCTGAAAGTTCCAGGTTTATCCCTAGGACATATTTTGAAGATATTGGTGTCAATGCCTTCCAGCCAGAGACTACTAAGAACACATCTATAGTTGAGCAAGTTATATATATAAATTGCAGCTAGAGAAAATGAACACCATGGAGAACTAAAAAGCATCTCAGTAACAATGTGTTAGAAAGAAGTTATAGGATTTGGGCTTCAGTTGTTTGATTTGAGGAAGGGTCCAAGGTAACAGGAGTTGGCTTCATATTTGGTACTGTCAGAAAGCAGAGACACTTCTATGTTTGGATTTCTTAAGAAATCTTATCTACAGGGAGGGTAGACTAGAGTGAGGCTAAAGCTGTAAGTGGTAAAGAAGTAGCAGTCATTCATATTAGCCAGGAGAGGAGGATGTTTGTTATTTTGTGGTGTCACAGTGACCTTGCTTTTTGCATGTGCTTAGACAAGATTATGCAGTACATTGTATCATTCTGTCATGGTCTCAGAATGGCCTTGTCTGATGGTGTTCTGTGAGATTATGTCCAACAGGGTGATAACATTGCCTAGCTGTGAGCACCAGGACAACTTCAAACAACACTGAGCACTATGTCAGACCAATTCCCCGATGTCAAGAGCAGATTTTTGTCTTTCATTGGTAATCCCCAGGAGCGGTTCAGGGCTTCATTTAGAATCTATAGGATTGTAGACTTGCAGTGTATGTCGGCACTGTTCAGAGTTGGAGATTCTTTTATATTGTGGAGAACTCAAGAATCTGAAGTTAGAAGTTTGCATGGGACAAAAAGTATTGCTTCTTTGTTTATAACTAAAAAGTACTTGAGATTATAGATATTAAGAAGCTAAATTGGATTCTATCCCCCCTCCCTGGCTTTGGGCAAGTTACCTAGCTATTAATATTTTGCATCTTGATTTCTTTATCTGGATATAACAATAAGTAATAATAGCTACCTCATACAGTGCTTACAACGCACCATCAGTGTTCTAAGCACTTTAAATATATTTACTTATTTAATCCTCATAATCTAATGAGGCAGTGACTATTTTTATCATTATTCATAGATGATAAAACTGAGCACAAAAGGTTAATGACATGCCCACAAAAGGTTAATGACATGCCAAGGCCACATAGTCAGTAAATGTCAGAACTGTCAAGGGGCTGGCTGAGTAGCTCAGCTGGTTAAGAGCTCACTCAAGAGTTTGAGCTCTGAGCAACAGCGGTTCGATGCCTGGCCCGAGTTGAGCTGCCACTAAGCTGCCAATAGGTAGCAGGATGGCTCAGCTAAAAATAATAAAAAAAAAAAAGAAAAGAAAAACTGTCGGGTAGTGGGAGCAGAGAATATGATGGTAATAGTAAAAAGCATGATTTTAGGTCAAGGCAATAAACAGCGATTGACTATCCACTGTAGGTAAGGCTTGGTGTATACTAAGGGCTGTTAGAAGACTAAGAATCCTTAAAGTTGGGCACGTATACAGGGGTGTGTAGACAATTGGGATGGGAGAAATAAATATTAAAATCTCTACTTATATTTAATTATTTACCCTTTAAAAATTAGTATTTTTGTTTGTTTTATAATGGCCATAATTTATTTATGTAGAAGTAAATGTATATAATGTCAAAATAAATATACACACAAGTATATTGAGGAGCGCCCCAACATTTTTTACTAACATGAATGTGTGATCACTGCAACAGAATGAACAAAGATGACACCACTATGTCCCTGCCCTCAGAGTTACAGTGTATTGGGGGCAGAAAATTAATTTTTTGAAGTGCAAATAATGGACTACAGTAGATAACTTTCTATCACAGATTAATTCAGATTATTTGCCACCAAATAAACTGTAGAAATAACTGTCATAGAAGAAGTCACCTGCCACCAGCTCTATTTTTGCCTATAGGATGAGGACAGCCTTGCTGCGGTTGACAGCTGCGGGTCGGAACCTGAGGTCAGAGGCAGCGACCACCCAGCAGCTCTCAGAGCTTGCCAGGCGGCGGCAGAATGCGGGCTGGCCGCAATGCCCCCCTAAGCACCAGCGCTCCCTGATACTTGGGCTGCAACAGCAGTTCCTGTGCCGCAGCCAGCCTCGTGTCCACGTGAGACAGAGACAGCTGCACACCGCTGGTGCACCAGTGCCTGAGAAACCCAAGAAGGGTGAGGTTCAGGGCTGAATCCTCGACAGGGCTACAGGCTAAAACACTGGGAAGGATCGATTTACCAGCCACATTTTCCTCTTCCTTTCTTTGTTCTGCCACCCCATTTTGTACTTTTGTTCTCATTCCTTTCTACCTCCCCCCCCCCAAAAAATTTTTTTTCCCTGAGTGGGATGTCAACTTCAAAATGTTTAGTTCACGGTTAAATAGTGTGGAGAGGAGAATCAGACAATGGAAACGGGAATTTGTTCTGCAGCAGGTCTAGAAAACAGACAAAGAGATAACACTGATGTCCATCCAGCTCAGGTGTGAGCAGCAGTGATCTTAAGATAGGTCCCTCTACTGGGACTCTGGGCCAAGTGGCGGTGCTGTTGCAGTCACAAGGCCCGTGTGCTCGGTGCATCAAATATTTAATATTCAACAGATCAGAGTTGGGAATAAAGAAAAGTTTTATTTATCAAAATGGCACCATAATGAGAAGATGGGAGATTTCAAAATTTTCTCAAATCCATATTAAGAGAGCCCAGAATTCAGGTTTCTTTTGTGTCAAGAGAGGAGAGAATGAGTGGGGCAAGAGGTGGGATCCTAGAAAGGGGTGGGAATCTCCAAATAAATCTCTTTGTTCCTAGTGGGTCAGACCAGAAGTTCCTCAAGTCTCAGGCAGAACTCTCCAGTCAATTAGCATATCTATAGAAATGCAGGCTGGAATTAAGGTGGAGTCAGGGAAAGAAGCATTTCAGCCTATAAGGGTGCCTCTGAAATGGAGTTCTTGGGCTTTTGGGGGAAGTGGACTCCTTTGAAACCATGATCAAAGGGAGGCCTCCTCCCAAGAAAAAGGCACAACACATACACAAAACTTTGCATACGATTCTATGGGTTCAATGGTTCCCAAAGTCCATTCCTGAAGTCCAGGCTTAGAAGTCCGGCTGTGGGTGAAGGGTTACAATTTCTCTTCTTCCTGTATTTCAAGTGGCTAAGAGTCTCAGGCTTCTATGAAACCCAACCTTGAATTAAGTAAAATCTTGTGTGTACATTTCCTTCACTTGGGAAGTCCTACGCAGTCCTGATTTAGGTCCATGGGAATGGAGTGTCTTTACTCTGGGAATTCAGGTTTAGGTTTTGTTTAGTATGCTCCTATATTTTCAAAGTCCCTACTGAGCCAACCAAATCTTGGCAAAAACAGCTAAAAGTAGAAAAACTAAATAAATATAAATTTCAGTTCAGTGTAACTTCAGCATTATTGAGTACCAGTCGTATACCAGGCACTAGAAATAAAATGCATTAGTTAGTCAGTCATACAGTCCCTGTCCTTTCTTCTTCTCATTTATACTCACTTGAGTGTCCGTAGTCCCAATGACTTAAAAGTCTGTAGTTGCATATCTGTGCAAGAGTAAAGAGAACCCCTCCTCTGGAATTAGTGGTAATATAAGGATTTCCCTCAGGTCCAAGGCTCCCTACTTCCAGCACTTGGAGTTGTAGTTCTAGCAGTTGGTGTTCTGGAGAAATCTGTTGCCAGTCTGCATTTTCTGTCTAAACTTTCAGAGCCAATGGACAGGCTGAGCTTTACAGCCCCTCCCACATTCAAGGAGCATGTGACAAATGAAAAAACCAGAGGTGAAATACCCAGTGAACCCAGCGAACTGTGAGTTCTTTTCACTTACCCTGCACTATGACATGTACGTTATTTAGGGAACAAGTGCATGTTGGCATTTTTGAGTCTTCCTAGCATAATCAGAGAAGATGAAGGTCAACCCAATGTCAAATTCTAATTGATTGTTTAAAAATGAAAAATAAAAATTTCTCTGTCTTCCAAGGAAAGGAAAATAAAGGCCATTTCCTTAATTGAAGGTATTCTCTCTTTTTCCCCTTATATTTTTAGCCCTTAGGTCATAATTCACTTATATCTCAGTTTGACTCTTAAAAGCTATATTTTGTAAGATTATCTTCCACACATACTAACTCGTCTAACTTCTCTTTATATATGTGAGAGCCCAATTCTCAGCCTCTATAACAGCAGTTTCTATTTCTTCTTTTTGTATCAAATATTCTGAATTCTAACAGTATGATTTCTTTCAGCCGTCAAACTTAAAACTAAACTCATTGGTCTATGCATGCCTAACAGTGCCCAAATTATGACCAGCAATACTATGCTAGTAGAAGAACCACCCAAGTCTCCTGGGAAAATGTGGTCCAAAGATGAAGATTTTGAACAGAGAAGCTCTTTGGAGTGTGCTCAGAAGGCCACAGAGCTTCGGTAAGAGTGGCATTCCATGCGTCAAGCCATAAGAACTGAAAAAGTAAGAGATTCTTATTTGTATCTTTCCTCCATCTCAGAGGAAAAGAGAATGCTTGGCATTAAATTCAATCTGAGAGATGGACCTGGAGTCCCAAGTGGATTAAGAAACAGCTTAACCTAAAGGGAATACTTATGTATAATAGAAGATTTGCTGCTTCACTTTGTAGAAGGAAAACTATTTCATCCTCACTGACAGATAGGGGTTCTTAGCCCTCACTGTGTATCAATCCCTGGAGAATTTTTTTTAAATAGACTTTTTTCGAGCAGTTTTAGGTTCACAACAAAACTGAACAGAAAATACAGAGATTTCCCATATACCCCCCTGATCCTCCCGCCCCAGCCTCCCCCACAGTCAACATTCCACACCAGAGTGGTGCATTTGTTATAAAGGATTAACCTATACTGACATATCATTATCATCCAAAGTTCATAGTTTACCTTAGGGTTCATTCTTAGTGTTGTACATTCTATGGGTTTGGACAAATGTATAATGACATGTATCCATCACTATAGTATCATTCAGAACAGTTTCACTGCGCTAAAAATCCTCTGTGCTCTGCCTATTCATCCCTCCCTACCACCTTACCCTGGCACCACTGATATTTTTATTGTCTCCATGACTTTGCCTTTGTCCAGAATGTCATATAGTTGGAATCATACACTATGGTGTCTTTTCAGATTGGCTTCTTTCACTTAGCAATATTCATTTAAGTTTCTTCCATGTCTTTTCATGGCTTGATAGCTCATTTCTTTTTTTATTATTTCTTTTCATTAAATTTATTGGGGTGACATTGGTTGATAATTTTTCTTTTTAATGCCAAATAATGTTCCATTGTCTGGATGCACCACAATTTTTTTAAAAAATAAATTGTGTTGGGGAACAGTGTGTTTTTCCAGGACCCATCAACTCCGTCAAGTAGTTGTCTTCAATCTATTGTGTGGTTGGGAAAGTCATAACCCATTTTTGCATTGAAAAACATAGAAAAATATGTCATGACTTCCCAGATGACCCAATAGTTGTGAAGGGCGCAACTCCTTGGCCCATGTGGGAATAAAACCAGCAGCCTTGGTGTTACGAGCCTGTGCTCTAACCAGCTGAGCTAACCAGCTGTTCATGGATGTACTACAATTTATTTATCCATTCACTTACCAAAGGAAATCTTGGTTACTTCCAAGTTTTGGCAATTATGAATGAAACGTCTGTAAACATCTATGTGCAGGTTTTTGTGTGGACATAAGTTTTCAACTTGGAAATCTTTTAAAACCTCAGATGCCTGGGCTCTACCCCAGAGATTTCCTTTCAATTATTTGAGGGTGGACCCCAGGCAGTATATAATTTTAAAGATCTCTCCAGATGATTCTAATAAGCAGCTAGGACTAGGAATCACTGAGATAGGGCCTAGTGAACCCAAAGCCTCCCAATACTTTTCAAATAAAAAAGAAAATATCTTCTAGGTTCAAAAAGAATACTTTTCCCTTGTGTCCCCCTTCCATAGGCACATTTTTCTGGTTTCCCTAAGGAAACGTGGGTCAGATTTAGAGGGCTTTTGCAAGGTTTATAGGAAACTGTGAGCACTATAATTTTTAAAACAGCTATTATGTTTTCTCAGAACACAGAATTGAGAGTTGGTAGTTTCTCTATCAAATCTCAGCTGGTGTGAGGGAAAATGGGAGAAAGGAGATTATTGCAGGAGTGTATATACACTTCCTATTTCTGGTGTGTTTTGGGGGAAATAGACAGGCAAAAAGTAATAGGAAGATGTTCTTAATAAGTGCAGTCAAGGGTAAAAGGTCCTTAGCTTTGTCCATTCTCAGACAGAATATTTTAGCACTGTCTTCTTTCTTCAGAGCTTCTATTAAGGAGAACATAGAGCTGATTCGACTTAAGAAGCTCTTACGTGAAAGGAATACATCATTGGTGGCAACAAAAGCACAATTAACAGAAGTTCAAAAGGTGAGCTACCATAATCAGCTGTGATTTTGGGGGTGAAAAAACATTTAGCTAAGAGATGAGTATTATTTTCTTCATTTTACACATGGGAGCCACAACTGAGAGAAACTAAGTTACTTCTTGTCTAAGATCACAACACTTATAAGTGCTATTCAGATCCACACTTTGCAACTCAGAGTCCATTCTTTTTCCAGTATTTCCCATGATCTCTCTATTAGGAAGAAGGCTCAGGACCTGCCCGCTAAGGTGGAATTAAGTGGGGTTAATGTGTGTCAGAGTTAAGGTCCCAGCCAAGGGCCACAAAGCAGAATGTAATTAAGTCAGAAGCCAAGAGCAGTCACCAGGAGAAGAAAAGGCATCCTTCACTGAGGATCCTCTATGTGCTGGACTCGACTAGATACTTATAGTCATGATCTTGCTTAAGCCTGACGACAGCCCTCATGGTAACTGAGCCTGAAAGAAGTTAAATAACTTGCTCAAGTCATAAAAATAGTAAGGGGCACAGCAGGCTTTGAGTCCAGGTTTATCTGGCACCAAGGCTCATGCTCTTTTCTCATTACCATGCAATAGAAATGCATATCTGAATGGTGGAAATAGGGCATCAAGGATCAAAGTGATAGATCGGCACCATTCTTTTATTGAATAAGTATTTATTGGATAAGTGTTTACTGCACAGGAACTGTGCAAAACACTGAGCTACAAAGATTATAAAGATAAATAGGATACTTCGTGCCTTTAAGGAACTTACAGAAACGAGTACAACTAATAAGAAGTAAACAAGTACAACTATGCACATCCAGGGTACAGGGGACACAGAAGAGAGAGTACTCAGATCCACCAGAGGATGGGGTACGGGACCCTAAAAACATTCATAAAAGAGTATATCCATGAGTCAAATCCTGGGATACTGAAAGATTAGCAGGTGTTAATAAGTGTGCAAGAGTGGGGAGTGCTTTCCAGCAGAGGAGAGATGGAGGCCAAGGCACAGAGGTGAGAAATGTCAGGCATCCGCCATGGAAGCCTTCTCAGGAATTTAAACTTTATCCTATAGAAAGGTTTTAAGCAAGTTGATAACATAATCAATTTTTTTCCCTCAAAGACGTCACCACCTTTTTTAAATGTCTGAAATAGTTTTGAATATTTTATACATTTTAATAAAGAAATAATTTTGAAAAATTATGATAAAGCACTAACAATTACTAATTCTGGGTAGTAGGTTGATAGATGACTGTTATAGTCTTTATACTCTTGAAATTTTCAACTTCTCAAAAATTACAAAAACTGCAAGGCAAGATCATCTGGCAGCAGAGTGAATGATAGGTTGGCTGGCATAAGACTGGAGGCAAAGAAATCAGGTAAAAGATGGCTGCAGGGCCGGCCGAGTGGCGCTATGGTTAAGAGCTGTCTTGGGACGCCAGAGGGCCCCGGTTCGGATCCCACATATGAGGGCCAGTGACACTGCCCTCTACAGCTAAGATGCTGAACAACAGCTCAGCCTGGAGCTGGGTTGCCTTGAGTCTCCAGCGACAGCGTAGGCTATAGCCCCTGTGGCAGTGGGTTGCCATGGGCTACCGTGTGTAGCCAGCAGCCAGCGTAAGTGGCCAGCAGCCGCAGTGAGCGGCCAGCAGCCGCAGTGAGCGGCCGTCCAGAAGCCGGCAACTGATCTGCCTCACCCGGGAAGAGCGCAATGATGGTGCCAACTTGGGCCAGTGAAGCAACATCCTCCACAACTAGACTGAAGAACAAAACGACAGTAACCTGTCTGTTCCCCTTCCCCCAATTCCCTAGCACTGTTCCCATCCCCCAATTCCCCAATAAAAATTAAAAAAAAAAATCTTTAAAAAAAAAAAAAAAGATGGCTGCAGTGGTCTAAGGGAGGCAGGATGAGGGTTCCAGCCAAGGCAGTGAGAAAGGCTTGCAGAGAAAGGACTGCTTGGGGAGAGGTCCAAGAAGAAGAAGAAGAAGGAACTTCATCACCAAAGGGGAGTGGGTGAGGGAAAAGGAGAAATGAAAGATGACTCCTGGGTCTCTAGCTTGGGTGGACTAGATGATGGTGGTGCCATTCATTGAAGACCTCCCTTGGGCTGACTGTTCTGATGGGGACTAAAGGCACCTTTACGAGGCCAATCTTCAAACCCATGTTTTGTAGAGAATGAGGCATATGCTTGTATTCTTTTGATTTGATTAATTTTGGTAGCACTAAAGGATATAGAAATATAGGAAGGAAGATAATTTTAAGTTGTATGGGTAAATAGCTATATAGGCCCCTCTATCCCATCCCCCCGCCCCACTATCTCAAAATAGAACGTTCCAATGAAGCCTTTTGTCGGCCAAAATAGCAAGGATGCATTTACCATTAATTTATACAGGAAAATTTTGGAGAGTTTTCAGACAAAAAAATAACCTACCAAATCATACCAAATAACACATGAAACCTAAAATAACACTGATACATATATAATAAAAGCAGGAATGATATGATAAATATACACCACACTTTGTATACCCATCAAGCCACTCAAGCAATAGACTTTCCATTCTATCTGTTACTGGATGCCACTTTGCTATTAACAGAACCAATAGTAACTTTTGCAGCTTTCAAGATTCTTCCTCTCTGTGTGTAAATAGTATGAATGGTGGACAGAAGCAAGTTCAACACACACACAATGTCCTTATTTTGTTCACCACGATCAAATGTTTAAATGATGTACACTTTTATGCTGTGTAATACCCTATGAGCCCTCTTAGGTATTTCTGATACCTTAGGACACATCTTAATGGATGCTTAAAATATCGATAAAGCACAGATGCTCACAGACACAGTTCAAAGCTCTGGTGGCTTGATGCTGAGATGCCGAGTATAGTTCCTAGGAATGAACTTGGGGGTACCATTCTCACTGCTCTGCTCTGGGTGTGTGATGCTTCTATAAATGCTCACTGCAAAAACGAACACTGAATACAATTTTTGCTTTTCACCTTTTTTTGTAAAAGCGAAAATCCTCTTTGGATTTCTTTCAGTTAGCAAAAACAGGTACTAATGCAGATCTTCCATAAAAGTGAAGTAGTGTAATGCAAACTTTTGGAAAGCAGGGGATACCTGTATTTGTGGGGTTGTATTTTTTTAAAAATTCATCTGTTCCTCCATTGCATTAAAGGAAAAAAGGAAGAAAGCCATTCTAAATTGAATGTCCTTACCAATATCAGTGGTAGTAGTAGAGATGACCTAAAATGGTGAATATCCTCCACGATTTTTAAAAATGTAATTTTATAATTTGTTTTTCTTTAGCAATTTGTCTTTTAGTCATGCTTTCTTACACATATGCTAAAATAAGTTTGCATTCTCTCAGTCCCTTAGCAGTAAAATATGATGGTCCATGGCACAGACTCTGGACTGGTATATGAACAAGTACCTTAGCTCTCTGAGCTTTGGGTTTGTTACTTTTAAAGCTTAGGCCCTAATACCTACCTCTCAGATTTGTTGTAAGGATTAAATCAGATAATATATGTAAAACAATTATAATGATCATAATGTAATAGGAAATGAAACATACAGTATCATGTAACACATAATAACTGCTCAACCAAGAGTAGCTATTGTTGTTAATTTGATAATTGTTGTTTTTTCTATTTCTGAAATTGAAAAGAGACCTTTCTAAAGCATGCTAAGTAACAGGTAACACCTAGTTTGAAAATAAATGTTTTTTTTGGATAATTCACCAAGTGCAATGCAAATGTCAATAAATAATCCTTCATCCTTTTTAAAGAAATGGTGTGATCTATTATGTTCACAGACTACCTGGGAAGTGAGGGCAGGGGAAAAGTAGCAGCTATTAGTAAACATGTATACAAATTGACTTGATTTATAGGATTTTTTTTTTAAGATGTTATTGGTGAATTGGGGGGAGGGGAACAGCGCTGGGGAATTGGGGGAAGGGGAACAGACAAGTTGCTGTTGGTTTGTTCTTCAGTCTAGTTGTGGAGAATGTTGCTTCACTGGCCCAAGCTGGCACCATCATTGCTCTCTTCCCGGGCGAGGCAGATCAGTCGCCGGCCTCTGGACAGCTGCTCACTGCGGCTGCTGGCCGCTCACGCTGGCTGCCGGCTACACATGGTAGCTTATGGCAGCCCACTGCAGCAGGGGACTGCAGCCTACACCGTCGCCGGCGACTCATGGCAGCCCAGCTCCAGGTCGAGCTGTTGTTCAGCATCTTAGCTGTAGAGGGCAGTGTCACTGGCCCTCATATTTGGGATCCGAACCGGGGCCCTCTGGCATCCCAAGCCAGTTCTTAACCATTGCGCCACTCAGCTGGCCCAGGAATTTAATTTTTTTTTTTTTTTTTAAGGAGGGCGCAGCTCACAGTGGCCCATGTAGGGAATGAACCAGCAACCTTGGTGTTATCACCACCATGCTCTAACCAACTGGGCTAACTGGCCACCCTTTATAGGAATTTTTAATAACATCTTTTAAAATAAGCATTTATATACTTGTATTACAGACATAAACATAAAAATAAACATCAAATTGATACATCAATAAAATCATACTTATTTTTTCTTACAGGCATATGAAACTCTGCTCCAGAAGGTACTTAATAAAGATTCCCTGAACCTCTGTTTCTGAATAATCAGAGCAATGAAACCCAAAGAAATTAGGATTCATCTTCAAGTAACATAACACCAGAATTTAGCCAACTAAGTCAAAGTTATTATATCATATAATTTCTATTAAGACAAATGATACTATTACTATTATCAGAAGATACTTATTGCACTGTTTTCATAAAAATTGAAATATGAGATCTGAGTTGAGAAATATCTGTAATAGTGTTTTTCAATCTATTGCTAGAGGGAATTATAGCATTTGCTCAAAAATTCCTAAGACTATTCCTCTAGCATGTGTGAGATAGTGAGATATAGTAAAAGTTGTTGCAAATCTGCTCTGATGTGATTAAGTATTTGTCCCTGGTCACCCCGGTTAGTGTGGTGCAGATGAAGCTGGGTGAATGTCTATGATTAAGAGTTACTAAGGCCAAGACCCAGCGTGACCTGACACAGCTGTTCCTCACCCAAGGTGTCCACCAGGAAAATGCACACTTAACTTCTAGAGTTAACATATTACTTTGCTAGGTGCACAGGGAGGAGTATATAATCATAAAAAGCATTCAAATAGCTTAAAAAGGAAAGGCAGCTGTGAAATGTGGCACTTCACTTAGAGCCAGGGTTAAATTTAAACCTTGGGGAAAATTAAGAATTAATTTGAATTATGAATTCATACTTATGAATTAAAGTTTCTCAGAGTGGGAAATCCTCATTAACAGGGAAAGGATATTTCCTGAGAAATGCTAGAGTGAAAAACACGGTCAATTTACAATGCAAATCCAACATGCTATTAATCAAAGCCATTCTCTGTGACATCCACTAAGGAATGCTAGGGTTGCTAGTATCTTTAGACCACTCCTGGTGACTAATATGACCTTTCCCAGAGCAACTTTCCTTTTACCCCAGAATCAGGGCATCTTGAGTGCAGCCCATGATGCCCTCCTTAGCCAAGTGAATGAGCTCAGGGCAGAGCTGAAGGAGGAAAGCAAGAAGGCTGTGAGCTTGAAGAGCCAGCTGGAAGATGTGTCCATCCTGCAGATAACACTGAAGGAGGTAAATAACAATAACAATTGAAGGAGACCATCAATTGTAAGTTACATTCCAATTTTAGAGATGTTAAAAAGTGTATCTTAGCAACACTATGGGTATTTCATTTTTTTAAATGATAAAAATGAGCCTCCAAGTGTTAAATAATTTGCTCAGGATTATACCATTAGGGGAAAAACTGTGATTTATACTTATATCTGTTCTCCAAAGTCTTTGCTCTATTATAGTGTTCTGCTACTTTCCTAACAGTAGAAAACCAGATACCATGATGATTTACTACAGAGAACCCTTATTAATACCAATAAAAGTTTCTATCCCACCTTTAATTTGTTCAAGTCTTTCTAGTTGAATGGCTTCTCAGAGATAAGGGAGTTGAATATAGAAAACCTCCCACCCAAGCCCCATCCTGCAACAGAAAAAGGAAATCTTGTATAAGGCAATATATTTAAATTTTTTATCTCAATCACTCTACCATCATTCTTAGTTTCAGGAAAGAGTTGAAGATTTGGAAAAAGAACGAAAATTATTGAATGACAATTATGACAAACTCTTAGAAAAGTGAGTACCAAGTTTGGGTCCCAGAGCATTGTTTGTTATAAGAGAAAATTATAGAAAAGTGCATTCCCAATTTTAAAAATAATACATAGTATTGATGAGGATATGGAGAAACTGTTACTCAATACTGTTAGTGAGAATATAAACTGCCAGTCTTTTTGGAAGGGAATTTGGCACTTCCTGTCAAAATATTAAACATTTGCATATCTTTTGTGCCAGCAATTCCATTTTCTGGAATAAAAAACTTAAAAATTCTTTTATATACATGCAAAGATATTGTATAATAAGAATGTTAATACTGTGATTAGTAATAGTAAAAAAAAAAAAAGAAAACAATCCAAATTTCCTTTGATAAGGATTGACTAAATAAATCATGTTTCATTTCCACAACAAAATTCTATGAAGCTGTTAAAAATGAGGTAGGGGCCGGCCGAGTGGCGCGATGGTTAAGAACTCGCTTGGGACGCCAGAGGGCCCCGGTTCGGATCCCACATGTGAGGGCCAGTGACACTGCCCTCCACAGCTAAGATGCTGAACAACAGCTCAACCTGGAACTGGGTTGCTGTGAGTCGCCAGCGCTGGTGTAGGCTGCAGCCTCTGCTGCAGTGGGTTGCCATGGGCTACCGTGTGTAGCCAGCAGCCAGTGTGAGCGACCAGCAGCTGCAATGAGCGGCCATCCAGAAGCCGGCGACTGATCTGCCTCGCCCGGGAAGAGCACAATGATGGTGCCAACCCAACTTGGGCCAGTGAAGCGATGTCCTCCACAACTAGGCTGAAGAACAAAAGGACAGCAACTTGTCTGTTCCCCTTCCCCCAATTCCCCAGCGCTGTTCCCATCTCCCAATTCCCCAATAAAAATCTTAAAAAAAAAAAAATGAGGTAGACTTGTATGCCTAGAATATATTGTTAAAAGAAAAATCAGGTTGCAAAAGAGTATGCTAACTCTGACCTAAAAGGATTGGAGTAGGGAAAAGAGGCACTTCCAATTTTATTCTGTATACTTTCACATCACTTTAATTTTTCACGACACGTATATATTCAAGTATTATTTTTGAAATTAAAAATAGCTAGAATTAAAAAAAAATTAAATGTGCCTTCTGACTCAGTTAAAGGCAGCAGACGGTAGATTGGGGAGGTTGTGTGGGAGCATTCTGGGAACAGCTGAATCTCTTCAATTCAATGAAATGAAGTAGTGTGGGGATTATCCACTTTGAAGACTCCCTGTGACAAACACTACTATTGGCCTCTTCCATTCACCATTCAGAACATCATCTTCTTGGATCATCATGTAACACATGGTCAGGAAGTGCCAAGAACTCTTAATACTAGCCTAAGTAAGTTGTTTTAGATCACATTTATTTAAATGATAAATAAGAAAAAGACAAGCAGAAATAATAGTTTGATTATCAATGTCCCTTCACTTGTGTAAACAGTCAAGGACTCGCCATGTGTGTTTTACACTCAAAATGGGTCTGCCCTCACAGTGGTGTGTAGGGTATAGTCACTGAAAAGTTTAGTTCCTGCCCTTCAGTGTAGTAATTTATAATCTAGTTCAAAGGCAAATATTCTCTAAACAAGCCTTTGGTGATGCTAGATAAAGAAATGAAGTAAGAAAAAGAGGAATGTTTTGTTCCTTATTTCTAATCCAGCAGGACTGAGAATGTCTTGGTACACAGCTGCCTGCCTAAAGAAAGCCAGCATGCTGGAAAAGAAATAGATATGAGTTGGGTTGTTTGCTCAGTGGGCTATTTGAGACCTAATCAGAAGTGATACTAAAGAACTCCTCAGTAGGACCCAAAAGTTCCAAGGCAGTTGGTAAATGACAGTTACAGATAAAGCAGGGGCAGAAAAAAACATGTAGGGGAATGAATGATGAACAAGTACCAGGAGATGCTGAAAGGAGATGCTGAAACTGTGTATTAAAGGCATCCTATCACTTACCTTCGAGTATCCATCTGACAACTCCCCCTCCTTCCTTACTTGCTCTCCGTTTTCAGCATGCTGGACAACAGTAATCAGCCTCACTTGAGCAACGAGCTTGTAGAACAGCTACAGCAGAAAGTCTCTCAGTTGCAGGATCAGCTGGATGCTGAACAGGAAGAGGAGAGAAAAGTCTTACTTCAGCTGTCCAGTGAGAAAGGTAGGTCAGCCCTTGTAGAGTTCTCTCAAATGAAGCACCTTCTACATCTGGTTTAGGAGAAGGGGACTTGTGCCAGCATTTCTCCAACCCCTCACTTGGTCATGGATGACTAGGATAAGAACACTGGCAATCAGACCACATTTACAATCCAGAAAGCATGACAACTACCTCATACGTATACTTTTTTCTATATAATGACTTCCCATTTGAGACTATGCCAGTTCTTAATTTATTATGCTTTTAAACATTCACTTTATTTATTGAAAGTATTGAAAATGATTTCCTCTGCTTTTTGATCTTATCAATCATTTTATTTTATTTTATTTTATTTATTTATTTTTAAAGATTTTATTGGGGAATTGGGGGAGGGGAACAGCGTTGGGGAATCAGGGAAGGGGAACAGACAAGTTGCTGTCCTTTGGTTCTTCAGTCTAGTTGTGGAGGACGTCGCTTCACTGACCTATGTTGGTATTATCATTGCGCTCTTCCCGGGTGAGGCAGATCAGTCGCCGGCCTCTGGACGGCTGCTCACAGCGGCTTTTGGCAGCTCATGCCAGCTGCCTGCCACTCACGTTGGCTGCTGGCCACTCACAGTAGGTTATGGCAACCCACTGCAACCCCACTGCAGCCTATGCCATCGCTGGCGACTCACAGCAGCTCAGCTCCAGGTCGAGCTGTTGATCACCATCTTGGCTGTAGAGGGCAGTGTCACTGGCCCTAATATGGGATCCCAACCGAGGCCCTGCTGCTCAGAGCTGGCGTCCCAAGCCAGCTCTTAACCAATGTGCCACTCGGCTGGTCCTCATCAATCATTTTAAAGGTGATTGAGAACTCTTTTTTTTTTCTATCACCTGATACCTGAAATTGAGAAACAAATTGCTGCTCTTGGTTACCACTACCATTTGCCCCATGTTAACTTGGAAAACAGTGGATAGTTATTCTAACAGTTTTTAGGGGCTTGTTGCATTCAGAAGCACTTTCTGGGTTTCCTGGCTGAGGAGGCATTTGGCAGGCAGGGTGGTGGCCCGGCACCCTGTCTTCTTGGCTGACTTGTTTTAGTTGCTTAGTTTGTAGAAGCTGTATTGGAGGCCACATGTCAAAATATTAGAGCCACATAATTAAAGCTGATTAATCCCCAAGACTCACATGGAGAAGAGCCTCTTGATCTATACTTGACTTCTCAAGCAAAGAATTTAACTTTGTCATGTTATACCACAGAGATGTAGCACATATTTGTTACTGCAGCATATATTAACATATACTGACTAATCATCAGAATATATCCTAAGAGTGAAACAAATATAAATTTGGAAAAAAAAACCCCAAAGATTTAAAATACTGTCAATGTCAAAGAAACCTTTGTTTCACTTATTTTTACTAGCCTAGACCTTGATGTTTAGTCTTATCTAGGTTTTATTTCATCTTATTTTAGTATAGTCACATAGGAGAGTGAAGGAAAAGAAATATGACATCAAGAAAAATAGAGGCAGGAACCATCAAAGGCTAAAGCTTAGGAGTACATGCTGAAGAGCTTGTAGTAGGCATGAAGTACAAGTGAAATCTTGTAAAGACCTAAGGGTAATATAATCTAATGCCCTGTTTAATGCATGATAATGAAATGATCACACTAAACACCGATCACCTTTCTTACCTGAAACACACACACACACATACAGAAATGCCCAAATGCTCACACTCTCCAGGTCAGGGTGGGTGTGGAGTGGGTGCCACAGAGTCAATAGCATAGAAGTCAGAATGGAATTGGAGAAGAGTTGTTGAGATACTGGTTTGGATGGTGCTATCAAAAGTTTGGACTGTCGGGGCGGCCGGTTAGCTCAGGTGGTGAGAGCACAGGCTCATAACACCAAGGTTGCCAGTTCAATTCCCACATGGGATAAGGAGCTGTGCCCTCCACAACTAGATTAAAGACAACTACTTGACTTGGAACTGATGGGTCCTGGGAAAAAAAACTGTTCCCAGTAAAATTTCTAAAAAAAAAAATTTGGACTCTCCCAATCAATCAAGTGGCTGTGTTTTTTTATTTGTTGTTAATGTTCTCCCTTCCACTTTATAGTTTTATAGATGTTTTTTGTTTTGTTTTGGAGTCCAAAGTTCAGGTTGATAAGCTAGGACCTCCATTTGTAGCAATAAGGGCAAATTTATAAAATAAATTAAACATTAGTGGGAAAATTTAATTCACACTTGGTTCAGCTTTAACCATGGTTACTGATAACTACAGTTTTAACTTTCTGGAATACTTTTTCCCCAGATCCTCAAAACAAGGATCTGAAGCTTGAAGTCACTGACCTGCTACAGAAGCAAAAACAGGAAGTACAGATTCTTCAAAATAAAGACAAAATTTCCCAATCTCCTGACAGGCAACCTGACCCAGCCACTCCCCCAGCTCCATTCCAAGAGGACACTCAGATAGAGGTATGTGCATCTTTTTTTTTTTTTTTTTTTTTTTTTTTTTTTTTTTTTTTTTTTTTTTT